CTGATTGTTTATCACACCATGCCTTTGATCTCTTCGTTTAATAGATTCTCACTGGATCTGGATGGATTTCACTCCTTTTATCACTTTGATCCATTTGATTCTGATCAAAAATATATAGGATATTATTATTATAAGGAAAATATAGTGTCTAACTAATGACCTAAACTGACCTGAAGTCAGTCAATAATTAATGACTTCCAATGATTTCAAGACTTTTTAGCTGCTTGAATAATTATGACTTCAACTAGTTGATGAATTAGAAACTAACTTTTGAACATTTGAACTCTACTAGCTGCAGCTGATTGCAGTGATCAGTGTCTAATCTATACTAAAACTTCAAAAGTACATTTTCAGAATTCATGCAAAGACAGCAGATAATAGAGAAACAGTTTTTAAAACACAAAAACACGTCAGAATACAACTTATTTTATGGAGGAAAAGAATAGGGCTGTTGATGAGGCCTGTTTTGATGAATTATAGACAACTTGTTTCTAAGGTCAGGTGGCTGTGGCGGCCATCTTGAACTGGGTTGACTCAGAAACTTGATCATTTGTAGATGTACATACAAAGAATAAAAAGTGTGAGCTGGAAAACCTGAAACCTGTGAATCCTGCCTAACAATGGAAGAAGCATCTGCTGGAACCTGAGTCGTCAGGGTTTCACCATCCCTCTGAGGACCGTTTTCAGGGAAACATGGAAGTTGAAAAGTTTTGGAGAGATCCCACTCCTCCCTCTTAATGGTTCTTTATCTAGACAGCAACAACTAATTGAAGTGAAACAATGAAATGTCATCGGTCTTACAGAATTGAATCTAAATTGATTCTTGATGTAAAAACACTAATAATGATGGTGGTCACTAAATGTTTGTTCAACTGTCATCTAAAGGTCCGTTTCAGGTCCATTTCTGGTGATTTATGGAGCATTTGAACACATGTAAACTAAGAATTTGGACTTGTAGCAGGACACCAGCAATTTGATGTTAATTGATGGAAGATTCTCAAAATTAGGTCTCAAATTAAAATGAAGATGTTTTGTTCTATTGAAAATAAATCAGTGCATTCCACTCAAATTATTACCAGGATTAAAACTATTCCACAATCATGAGTTTTATTGTAATCAAAAGTAAAATAAAATAAATAAATACAGCAAAATAAAAACAAAAGCTTTTACATCATCAAGTATGAAATTTGATAAATTTTCAACATTGATTTACAGTGATATTAAACCAAACAGCTTGTTGTAAAATGATTGGAAACATGATTGAATTATGACAGAAATATTTTGAACAGTAGAACTTTTGGATGAATTTGTCATTTTAGGAGATGAACTAAATGAGGATGATGATCATGTAAAACTTGTCAAATCTTCGCTGACAAAACCAAACATCTTAGGGTGCATTCACACCAGCCCTGTTTAGTCCGCTTTAATCGAACTATAGCTCGTTTTCCTAGAAAGTCCGGTTCGTTTGGGGAGGTGTGAACGCGCCATCAAACTCTGGCCCGGGCTAAAACCTAGGTCTCGGTCCGGTAGAAGAGAACTCCAGCGCGGTTCGAGTACAGTGTGAATGCAACCAGACCGGGCCCCACTCCACAAGCAAGAAGTGGAGTACAGCGCAGGGCAAACAAACACGAATTTATCTGACCTTATATGGAGCCGTCAGCTGCCTTGTGTGAAAAACAATATTCTCCATGGTCTTCTGTCTCATCTTCTGCTCATGCTGAGTCCATTTTTGAAAAATTACAAAATATAACTCCTAAAACTGCTAAAACTTGATGCCACTCTGTTTTTGTTTTTATTTACAGAAGTGTCTTCAGAGGTTTTTGTGTGGTTTCTTTCAGTAGTTCTTGGTGCAGCGGCCCCACAGGCGAGCGGGGGAGTAGGTTGGTTCAACAGGTCGGCTCGACTGCACAGTGCAGTGTGAATGAAAACACACCAGCTCAAATGTAAACAAAATGTCATGAATATTGGTCCCCAACCGAACCAAGTCTACTGGACTATCAGGTGTGAAAACAACCTTATTCTGCTGTTGACTCTTGTTTGGTGTTGTTTATTGGATTCAACAAATAAGTCTTAAGAAACAAAACATATTGACAACTTCATTTACTCATTTAACAAACTGGAGCCTCAGAAGCATGTGGAAGAACCATACACAGCCACAACAGCCTGGCACCTCTTCATGCTGCTCACCAGCTTGGTCACACACTGTTGTGGGATGGCATCTCATTCTCTACCAACATTTGTTGCAAGTCAGCCAATGTGATTGTTTATAAAACAACTCCTTGTCAACAGCATTCTGCTGTGAAAGAATGCTACATGAGCTACTAATAAATCGACACATTTGCACGACACCACTAGTTTAGTTTGTCACCGTTTTATGCAGGAACATGTTCAATTTAGAAAACAGTGACAAAGTAAACAACAACGTTGTGTAAAAGTGTAGTCGTTTAATAGTCAGAGAAATTTATTTGTCATACACACAACATGTGGTACATGTGGTGGAGCGAGATTATAATATTAGCTAATATAGCATTTTTCCAGATTGATATGTCATTATTGAGAAAGAAGTTGTTGTTACTTTAAAGCCTGCAAAACAATAAAAATGTATTTTCTTGGATAACTGTTTCATTGAAAAAAAAATTCTGCCTTTATTTTTATTACATTACACCAACTGATAAAACGGGACATAACTATTGTCACTACTGAAAAACAACATTTTTAACATTATTACTGACACCATCATTTCACAAACAGTGATACCAAAGCATTTTAACAACATATCATTCTGATCAAATGACAAAATAAGATAAGATGGCTCACACATAAGCATCATTATATAATGAAGTATCACACACATACATGTTTCTGCCGACAAACGAATAAACAGCATTCAGAATATACAATCTACAGATGTGGACAGTAACTGTGGTAACGGACCACAAACCTCCACACCTCACAGAATATTTAACAACAAACCTGAGAACTGAACACTTCAGTTCTGTGTGACCTCTTGTGGGTCTTTAATAGGTCATGGGACAAATCCTGGGTTTTTGAGTTTGTGGCAACTCAATGGGGGCAAGCAAACTACACTTGAGTTAGGTTCAGGATGGTGTCAGGTATGGGGGCAAGCAAACTCCACTTGAGTAAGGTTCAGGATGGTGTCAGGTAGAACTGGGCCATATCATATCATTCACGATAATACCGGTAAAAAAAAGCTTGCCTGGGCAAAAAAATGATATCATGATATGCTAATTTCATGACGTAATACGTCACGGTGCCCCTTTAACAGAACTGAGCGTGCCGAACGACCTAACCGAATTGTGCAACCCCCCTCCACCTGTCGGTACTGACGTAACACTAATTAATTGCGCGCAATACTAGCTAGCTAAAAAACTAAAAACAAACAACGTGCGGCTCAGCTGTCTCTCCATCCAGCTCTAAACTGCAGGTACAGACAGCTCAAATGTTTCTCCCTCCCCCCGCTCTAAGCTGCAACTCGTCTTTTTTCTTTCTCTTCGCACCCCACTCTGGCTGCCGGTGCAGGCTACGTCTCCCCCGCTCTAAACTGCCGGTACAAACACGCACAGCTAAACTGTCTCTTAGTTCCACAGTGCATGGAGCAAGAACAGAGTCAGGTGATCAGAGACAGAGCATCAGAGAAATGAATCATTCCTGCAGGAACAGAGGAAGCTGAAACACCACAAGCTTCAGGGTCAGCTGAAGACACCTTGTTACAAGTTCTGGAAGTTATAGCTCATTAAAGACAACATATATTTTGTTGTATGTTACATTTATGCTCAACAGATCTTAAGCTTCATTTTATTTTATTTAGTTATTTTGGGAAGCTTCACCTGCACTTTAGTTTTTGTGGTGGATTTATTGATCTATATTTTGTGGAGACTTTTTCATCTAAATAACAAAAGGATCTTTTTATTTTTATACTTGGAGACTGAATACTTTACTAAATAAAGTAATTTCAGTAAAATTACCCCTTTTTTATTTTATATAATACTGCAAAGCAACATGTTAAGTTAATTTTGTCAAATAACTATGATTTCTGTTTTTTTTTTTTTTTTTTTTTTTTGTTATATCACAAAATTTATCGTTATCATCAGAATTCTCTAAAATATCACGATATTATATTTGAGCCATATTGCCCACCCCTAGTGTCAGGTAATTTTAGCCTCATGTATATAAAAGTAGCCTAATACTACAGTAAAGTTGGAGTTTAACCTGGAGGGGGAGACAGGTTGGCTCAATTAACTCAGTGCAGTGTGAATGAAAACTACACCAGCTGAAACTGTAAACAAATGTTATGATGTTGGTCCCCAACCGAACTGAGTCTAACAGACTATCAGGTGTGAAAATAACCTAGGAGAAAATCAAAGATTGGGAACTTGTTGAAAACTGTCACAGAATATCTTTTACAAAATCAAAACAAATTATATTTGGGTGTTAAGATACCAGTTGCATCTCATGGTCTATAATATTTATTTTAATATTTTTTGTCAGAATGTTTTCACTCCTGTATGAACTCTCATGTGTGAGTTTAAAGTTGTCTTCAGTCTAAATCTTTGTCCACAAAGTTCACAAGGAAACGGTTTGTCTCCTGTGTGGACTCTCATGTGTGAGCTTAAATGTAGCTTATAACTAAATCTTTGTCCACAAAGATCACAAGGAAACGGCTTGTCTCCT